GGGTTTGATTTTTTCTTCCCCCCCAAAAAAAAAAAAGGGCCCCCCCCCCCCCCCCCCCCCCGGCACCCTGTATGAATGGAAGGAAGCCAACAACCCTCAACCAAAAGCAGGACCAGAACTTCGAACAACATCAAAAGATAATTTGTAACTAGTACTAGTCGACATTTGAAACGGAGCTCGATATAAGTCACGGAGTTACGGAGGAGTTGGGAATCAAAAACCTTGAACGACACGTACCGACTCCCTCGTAAGCCAAAAATAAAAATACCACATATTTTTTTTATACTTGCCCTCGCGTACGGCGAGGTGTCTTCCCGAGTCGCCGCCGCCGCCGCCGAGAGCTTCGAGATCAGCGTGTCCGAAGTATATCAGGACCTGTACACGGGCTGTACGCGGTAGATGTCCGCGCGGCAGATGGGACAAACGACCAGAACGGAGGCGCACGAGTGGCAGGCGCACAGGTGCCCGCACGGTAGAAGCAGCGCGTCGACCGACCTGCGTATGTAGTACGTGGGATACAGCCGGCCATCGTGTTGGGAGCCGAGACTTGGTTGTCAGGGGAGAACAATGGCGGTTGCCACTACTGCCGGAAGAGCGGCTATTTTAGCGCCACGCGATTTCTTGTGGTCGCTACACGGGCATGTAGCCAAACAGGGGGGCCGCTAAACCGAGCCCGCCACTGCTGTACGTCCTGAGTTATCCGGGTTGGGTGTAATGGGCATCGACTAGGGCGGCAGCGGCGGCGGCGCCGACGGCGGCTATCATTTACAGAAAATTTCCAGCTTTCCGTGCGTGGGTGGCGTCGGAAGCGTTTTCTCTATGAGAGGATCGCGAGAAACAAAGGACGAGGACTCCGCTCGTCGTCCACAGGAGGTGATTACAAGTTACAAGACCAACGCGACGCTCTCTCTCGCTCATCCCTGCTATGGTTATATGCGTATGCCCTCTTTCAGGAACGAAAAAAATCTATTTCATCTTCCTCCTGTGTGTGTGTAGTTCAGTCCTTGCAGAACTCCTGGCTCCTCCGTTGCACGAGGAAAGGAAAGCACAACCAACCCCCCTCTGGATAATATACCTAGTCCCGCTCTTTTCCGCGACAAAATCCCCCTCTCGGGTACATCACCCACTACTCCTTCGCTTACCCCATGTGGCAGATCTTGCAACGCTCTTCCTCTTGCCGACGACCATCACCATCACCACCACCGTTGCCGTCAGCGGGCTTCCTCGTGGCGGAGCGATCACTGTCGTCGTCGCCGCCAACACCTGAAGCTGCTGCGGCGGCGGCAGAGGCGGTAGTGCCCGCGGAAGAAACAGTCGCCAGGGGAGCCAGTCCCGGGGCAGGGGCACCGGAATTTGCGGCGTTATTGGCGGCGGGATACGGGGAGGCGCCGCTGGCACCGGCGCCGGCGTTGTCGACATGCCGCTGGTGCAGGCTAGACGCCGCCGCCGCTGCCGTTGCTGCGGCACCCCGGCCATCGCCGCCCGCGCTCGAGTCCGAGAGGCTGCTCCGCAGGAACTGCATGTCGTCGAGCCCCGTCTGCCCTGCGGCGGCGGCGGCGGCGGCGGTCGCTGTCGGTGCTCCCACGACCTTGTTGCTGCCGCTGCTGCTGGCGTTGCTGGTGCTGCTAGGGCTACTGGTGCTGCTGCTGCTCGCGTCGCCATCGTTCTGGTGCATGGTGTGGCGGTAGTGGAAAGTGCCGTGGCCGTGGCCGTTCGCTGCGACCGACTGGCCTTGCGGCGCGCCGTTGGCCGACCCTCCGCCATCGCCGGCCGCCAACCTGCCCGCTCCTTCCCCCCCCCTGCCGACGCCACCGTCGCTGTTCATGAACGCCGCCACCGTCGCCGCCTCGTCCCAGTCACCGCCACCATCTCCGCCCGCCGGCAGCGGCATCGCCTGGGACTCCAAAGTCTTCCTAGTGCCTGCAGCCCTCGCGAAGAGCGGCTGGACGTCACCGCCCCCGTTGCTCATGGCCATGACCCCTACGGCGTCCACCGCCGAGGAGCGGGCGTCAGCGGCGGCTTCCCCCGCCTGGCGAGTGGCGTCATCAAACATCCCTTTCCACCCACCGGCGCCGTTGTGGTCACCGGCCGGTAGCGGCATCCCTGCTCGAAATTCTCGTCCGCCGCCGCCGCCGCCGCCGCCGCCGCCGCCGTTATCGCCAACAAGGTCGCCCGAACCGAATCCGAGGTTGTCCCACGCCGCTGCCGCCGCTTGCATTTCTAAGGCTTTGTCCGATCTGCCAGGGCGGCCGTTGCTGCTGCTGCTGCTGCCGTTAGGCTCGTGCGGCCGCTGGTACACCTGCTGCTGCTGCTGCTGCTGCTGTTGCTGCTGCTCCCAGACTTTGCTCGGGGCCTTGAGGTCCCAAGCCAAGCTCCCTCCTTCTGCTCCCTCCCGGTCATCGAAGTCGCCGCCGCCGCCGCCGCCGCCGCCGCTGCTGCCGCTTCTGCGTCTTCCCACCGGCTCGTACATCGGTGGAAGGGCGGGAGGGTAGTGGGTCCGGGTGGCGTCGGCACCACGAGGAGGGGGGTGCTGTTGGGGGTGGTGACGGTCGTTGCCGCCACCCCCCCCCGCTTCCGCCCGCCTTCC